TTTTTTTTTTTTTTTTTTTTTTGCTTTTCTTTCCCGAACTGGGAAAGAAGGGAAAGGCAAGAGAAAAACTGATTCCCATGAACTACCAAATGTCTAAAAATCCTTTATTCCCAAGGATATGATTTCAAAGCAGCATTTTCCTAGACATTCCTAATAAAGACCTCAAAACCTTTTTATTCTGTGACATAACCTTTGAAACAGTGAGCATAAACTACCCGCATAATTTACAGCTCGAGAGGAAGCCTCAATGGCCGTATAAGGAGCAACACAATAATATGCAGCTACAGCAATCTAGAGGAAGTAGCCATACAGTTCCAGAAAGCAAATGCACAAGTTCCACGGATTTGAAGCATCAGTTGTTGGGGCTGTGAGAAGAACACGGAAGAACCTAAATGGAAGTAAAGAGTTTGGTCCAGTTACGGGCCACGATGCAAACTGACCAGGCTTGCACACCGTCTGATCGTTCTCGTGTACTCGCAAGTTTGTCCAAGTTTTCCCTTCGATTGACCCCTAAAACAAATGCACGACATTGTCTAAATTTGCATAAAGAGAGGGAAAAGAAGGGAGGGAGAAAGAGAGAGAAGATAAGCTTTACCTGGAGATTCCAATATCTGATGAATGCTCTTGACCCATCTTGTCTCAATGTATAGTAATTGCACATCAGCTGCATTTGAAAGATGCAAGGGATATCGATCGATGAGACTATAACTTTATAAAAGGAAGCGACGGTCAAGTATTCAATTCCCATTTTAATGCGTGATTCTAAGGCAACAAGCTACAATTCATGCTCAAATTTTAATGCATTTCAAAAGTTCTACAGAAGATGGAGAAAACCTGATGATCTTCACCAATATCAACCATCCACCATGAATAAGTTTGCCCATCTTCCAGGCGAGGGCCGGCAAATGAAGTTCCCTAACAAGAAAAGTCAACCCAGTTAACAGAGAACTCTCCCTTGCTATGATGTTCAACACAAAAGTTTGGTGCGCATTACCTGGTAAGTTCTCGAGACCAGAACCTTCGGATCTGTGTACCTTGAAGGTGGACTGCTTGCCGTAATAGTAATTTTCTAAAAAAGTAAAAAAGCAGGCAAATTTTCAGCAACAAATTGACCAATACTGCGGAAAGGGCTGGGAACAAGAACGTTGAGAAGTTCAAGAACCAACCTTAGAAAGAATGGGATTAACCCATGGATGCTCTCCATATGATGTAC